GTAATCCTTGGTGATGAATGGGGTTAAGGCTAGAGAGAGTAGCAGGAGATGCCGCTGAATAGATCTGGTCACCATAATCAAGTTTCGATAAGATAAGGGTGGAATGTAGGTGAAGGAGGGTTCGACGATCAGCTCCCCATGAAAGATGAGCAAGGGTTTTAAGAAGGTTCAGCCGGCTGTGGCAAGTTGCCTTCAGAGAGGTAATGTGAGGTTTCCAGGATAACCTACGATCAAAGAGGAGGCCCAGAAACTTGACTGTATCACGTTCAGGGATACGGGAGCCATAGAGGTACAAAGGATGATCGGAGATGACAGAGCGTCTAGTGAAAGTAATTTGGTGGGTTTTAGTGCTGGAAAATTTAAACCCACGTGTGGTGGCCCAATTGGAAACACGGTCGACTGCATGCTGGAGAGAAACTGTAATAAGGTGACAGTCAGCGCCTGCACAGGCAATAGCGAAGTCATCAACATAGAGTGATGACCAAATATTTGATGGAAGACTAGAGGCCAAATCATTAATAGCAAGGAGAAAAAGTGTTGTGCTCAGAACACATCCCTGGGGGACACCTTCAGCTTGGATAAAGTCCGGGGAGAGCACATTATTAACCCGAACACGGAAATGCCTGTCAGTTAAAAAGTTCTTAAGGAAGGATGGTAGATTACCTCGAAGGCCTAAGGAGTTGTGTCATATGCCTTCTCAAGGTCAAAAAATATGGCAATAACTGAGTGGTTATTCGCAAAGGCATTACGAACATACGTATCCAAGCGTAGTAAGGGGTCTATGGTAGAACGTCCCTTACGAAAGCCATATTGACGAGTGGAGAGACTGTTGTGTGTCTCTAAATACCACACTAAACGTCTATTTACTAGGCGTTCCATCACTTTGCAAACTGCACTGGTAAGGGTAATGGGACGATAGTGGGAGGTTTCATGTCCCGTAGTGCCTGGTTTGCGGAAAGGGAGAACAATGGCGGATTTCCACAGCTGTGGAAGAACTCCTTGTGACCAAATAAGATTGTAAAGGCGTAATAGGACTGCAAGGGCTGACTGATGTAAATGTTGTAGCATACGAATATGAATGTCGTCGGGCCCAGCTGCCGATGATCGGCAAGCTGAGAGTGTCGCCTCCAGTTCTTGAAGCGTAAAAGGCACATTATACTGTTCTTCTCTGAGTGAAGAAAAGTCAAAGGGTGCTAACTCTCTGGCAGACTTTGAGGAAAGAAATGAGGGGCATAGATGGAGTCCCTGAGAAATATGGACCAGATGATTGCCAATTTCATTGGCAACATCTAGTGGGTTTGCTATATCAACACCGGCAACCCGCAGAACAGGAGCCGGGTCAGGAGAATATTTACCACTCAGTTTTCGTACTTTTTTCCAGACTGTACTCATAGAGGAAGCAGAGGTGATGGTGGAGACATAATCTCACCAGAAGTGCGTTTAGTGTCACGGATGACATGGCGAGCGATCGCACGCTTCTGCTTAAATTCAAGAAGTCTCTCTGTGGTTCTATTGTGCGGGTACCTGCCCCATGCAGCGCGTTTCAAACGTACTGCACGAGCACAAGCAGGAGACCACCAAGGCACGCATTTCTGAGAATGCCTGCCCGAAGTTTGGGGTATAGAATGAGAAGCTGCGGTTAAAACGGAGGACGAGAAGAGGTGTAAAAGCTCATCGATGGAGGACGAAGAAGGAACCTCTCTAAAAACAGTTAAGTGTGAGTAAAGGTTCCAATTTGCCTGATCAAATTGCCAGTGTGGGATGCGAAGAGGTGGTGAATATGAAGGGGAAGTAAGAATGATTGGGAAATGATCGCTGCCATGTAAGTCCAGAAGAACAGACCAAGTGAAGTCTAATGCGGCGGAGGAAGAGCAGACTGAGAGATCGATGCAAGAGAGAGTGTGAGTCCGAGGATCAAAATGGGTGTGAGTACCTGTATTTAAAACATGGAGGGGGTGGGTGGCAAGAACAGCCTCTAACTGAATGCCATGGGAATCACAGTGAGACCCCCCCCCCCAGAGGAAATGGTGGGCATTAAAATCACCAAGTAACAGAATCGGTGGTGGTAATGACGAAACCAGAAAGGCAATATCCGGAATAGAGAATGCCCGAGAAGGAGAGAGATATAAAGAACAGAGTGTATACAACCTATGCAAGTGGATACGGGCTGCTGTGTAATGCAGCGAAGTACGAACAAATAGCTGATGGTATGGAATATCAGTGCGTAGAAGAAGGGCACTTTCATTAAAGGTCCCATCAGGAAAAGGATCTGAAGAATACAATAAATTATAGCCTGAGATGGGAGAGATAACAGCAGAGTGTAATTTTGGTTCCTGTAAGCAAACACCAACAGGGGAAAACTGGGAGAGTAACGTCTGAAGCTCACCCCGATTACCCCTGAGGCCGCGTATGTTCCACTGTAAATAGGCCATGATTGGCAATGATAAAGATACCTGAAATCTGCAGGTAAGGGTTCCTACAGACTAGAGGGGTTAGAAAAGTCCACATGAGGAGGCAGTGGAAAACGTTCAAGCAGCGAAGGAATGGTGCGCTGTGAAGAAAGGAGTTGCGCAGATGGAGTAGAGGAGAGAGAAGGAGCGGAGGGTGGATCAGTGTCCATTGATGGTTTGGTCTCTGCAATATATTCAGAGATTGCTTCAAGTGTTTCAGAATTCAGAGACGTCGTATGGGAGACAATATTGGAAATGGTAGGGGAAGGATGAGTAAAGATTGGAACTGTAATGGACTGTACCGAGGTAGGGGGGGACGGAAGGGTGGAGGGAAGTGGAGAAGCGTGGAAGGGGACAGAAGAGGCAGAAACCTGGGAGGTGGCAGAAGAGGAAGAAACTTGGGAGGGAACAGGGGAGGAAGGCACAGTACGAGGAGGGTGAACCTCTACACTTGTAACAGAGCCAGTGAGAGGAGGAGAACCAGGTACAGAGACAGGGAAGGGAAAATGAGGAGGTGGAAGATTGGTAGGTGTTAACGGACCTTTTTTTGACTTTTGAGAAGTAGAGGGACGATTGGGAGGAGGTGTCATACGAGATCTCGTCGCTACTGAGGCTTGTGAGAGAGAACACGAAGAAGCAAGATCAGACTGAGACGTTGAAGTAGGGACGTCTGAGCCGAGGACAGCAAAAGAATTAGCTACAGGAGTGACTATGGGGGAGGTAACCACAGAGGTGGGTGCAGAAGATGGGATACCAGGAGTGGGGGGACGTTTTGAAACACGGAAATAAGAAACACGAGGTAGTCTCCCTTGGAGGCGGAGATGAGAAACTGCCATGGCATAAGGGAGACCTTCTGCCTCTTTGAGGTAATGGATTTCCCGCTCGTTTAAGTAGACTTGACAACGGCGAGAGTACAAAGGGTGAGCCTCATGACAATTAAGGCAAGAGGGAGGTCGATTGCAAGACGTATTAGAATGGTCATCGGCACCACAGACTGGGCATTCGGCGATAGATCTGCAATATTTCGCTGGATGGCCAAATTGCCAGCAATTTCTACACTGTTGAGGTGTAGGGATCACCTTTCAAACTTGTAACCGATGTCCTGCTACATAAACAGAGGATGGGAGTTCACGGCTGTCAAAAGTTAAACGAGCCACATTGCTAGGGTATTGTCTCCGCCCGTGGGCAGGAAGAACGTAAGTGTCTACCTTGAGGATTGGGAGATCTTGGAGTTCCAGCTGTTCAAGAATGTCAGTGCCACATTTCTGGAAATGTTGTTGAACTATGGTATGGGGCAGAATGACGGTACCACTACAAGAATTGAGGGAATGATGCTTTTCAATAGTTACAGGAACAGTATCAATATGGGAAAGACGAGAAAGCTCATGAGCCTGGGTAGCATTCTGTACAGTGACGATGCGCGTACCGCTCTTAAGAGCATGAAAAGAAATATCTTTACCAACACGGCGTAGGAGTGCCTTGCCAATACTGTGGTCAGAAAGATAGGCAGTAGAGGAAGTCGGTCGTAAAGTGAAGAATTTAGTCCATTGTGCAGTCTGAAACTGAGCGTGGAAAGGTAGTGAAGGACGTGTCGATCTTTTCTGAGAAGAACGAGAAGGTGGAGAAGTATCATCAGCAGGTAATTGTCGTTGTCGTTTAGGCGTGGGACCAGAGTTGGTCCGACGTGGAACAGGCCGGCGATTCGAAAATTGCCGCACCGTAGAGGGAGAGGCCAGAAGCATAGTCAGAGGAGAGCAAAGGTCAGATAAATCGAAGGAGTCAGTCGAGGCCTCAGTACCTGAAGCGGGTGAGGAAACAGCACCGGCAAGAGGTACAGAGGCATGAGGAATGTCCGAAGAGTGGTCCAAACACGAGGCGGGGTCAGAACGGGGTGCGGTATCAAGAAGGGGCCCGGGGGTAGCAGGTTCATGGACTAGGGCTGCCATGGTTAGGTTACTTCCTTCTTTTTGTTTTTAAGAAAAAAAAAAGAAAGAAGAAAAGAAAATAAAAATAAAAAAAAGAATAAAAAAAAGGGGGGACCAGGGAGGGATAGTTCCTAGGAGGAATGAAAGGGCCAGAAATCTCCCTCCGCGCCCAAGAGGACCTCAGCACCCCAAGTAGCGCAGATGCAGCATGGAACCCGTGCCATACCCTACCCATCATGCCAGTAAACCGGCAATCCGGGATAGCAACCTCACATCTGCCGAGCTACCTCAGTGGACAAAAGAGAGGGCGGCCAGAAATCTGCCACAAAGCATACCTCCTTCGGCCACCTCCCCTGGAATCCGAAAGGTGGCTTCCAGAGTTACACCCATCGCCCGAGAGACACCCAAAGCCACCCTCCGGGATACCGGAGAGGGATCAGGACATCCCCAGGCAATCCAGATTCCACGGCAAACTACGCCACCGCCAAGAACCTCAACAGAATGGGATGGATCCCGGTACCCTTTCCCCTACCTAGGAACTAGCGTGCCTGTGGAGAGAGAAAAAAAAAAAAAAAAAAAAAAAAAAAAAAAAAAAAAAAAAAAAAAGGAAGGAAAAAGTGGAGAATGGGGAGGAGGAGGAGGAGGAGGAGGAAAGGAAAAAGGGGAGGATGGGATAGGGAACGGGGGATTGGGGGGTAATTAGGTTCGGTCTGAGGAAGTAGACCGACAGGTCTAATTCCTCAGACCAAGAGCCTCTTCACCACGCCAAGGAGCCCCCCTTGAAGAGGAGGAAACCTTAATTATGGACAATGTGATTGCCATGCAGATTTGCTCTACACCAAGTTTCTTCTTATCATACTTGATGGCAATAAGTGCCAGACAACATAATATCAATGATACAGTACTTAACCCTTCCAGTGGCTGCCATGTAGAACTACGTCATTGAGGCAGGATGTGTCATGTAGTTCTACACTGTGAGCTCAGCTCACTCAGATAAGATGTGAGTGGTAAATTTTGGCAGAGATATGGGACAGGGTCTGTGTAGCGAGTTTGCACAGCATAAATTAACAGAAATATACAATTTTTGCCAATTTTCCAGAGGATGGGTAAGGTTCTCCTACACCCCTCAGTTTGTTTTAGGGTTTTTACTAAGTCTGATTTGATTATTGGGATGCTCTAAACCATGACCAATCATTCCTGGTTATATTTTATTATTTGAGAAATAGAGAATCTTCTATTTTTGTGTGATTATGAATTCACAATGAAAGGCAAGTGTAATATGGGAGAGGCCTGGGACATGATTAATGAACAGAGGAAATGTTGTTTTAGTGCCAGGAATGTCTACATTGTTTATTCTGGACCATTTTTCAAATGGTATTTTTTTATTTTTGTGAAACTGGCAAAATTACTGACTGTACACTGTATAGCATAGTTGTAGTAGTTAAATGGATGGTTTTTCATGTTTATTGATAAGCAAAAGACATCCTAGCAAAATATCTAAGAATTGGCTTAAAATAAGACTTAAAGTGGGCAAAATCACCAATGTGTAAACTGCCCTACACTGCCACCATTATGCTTGTATAATTCCAAAGGTTTCCTTCAAATTTCATACTTTTGGTGTCATTACTATCAGAAAAAGATTTTGTCATTTGAGAATTTTTATTAAAAAAAAAAAGTGGACACTGAGAACAGCAATAATTTCAGGGGTCTGGACAGTGAAAGGGTTAAAGACAGCTTTCAAAAAATATACAGAGAGGTAAATATAAAAAGACCTTTTTCAATATATGCTACCCCTAAACTAATATCTGTACCAGTAATATGGTGCCTGTAACTAAAGAAACATAAGAAATTATATGAAGTTCAAAGTGTTACAAAAGAAATCATGAATATAAAATTGACGATCTAAATCAACATTATAAAGCTTTACAAATTCTATCTTTGGAAACAGGAAAAAAATTACATGACGACATTTATAAAAGGGAAGAAAAAAAAAAGAAATAAAGAAGACTTTTGGAAACAAGCACCAACGAGGGGGGAAAACTACAATTTCATAAAAAAATGCAGGAAGGATAACAAGGACAGTACTTTTCAAATAGTAATAGTAGTAGTAGTAGTAGTAGTAGTAGCAGGTGACTGCAATGAACTCAAAGGATATGGCAGTACATGCTTCAACAACTAAATGAAATGTGTAATATTAAGTTAAGATGATGGGCTATGACAAACATCGCTGTATTCATATAACAACAAATAGGCACTACACTGAGTATAGACAATTACTGTACATACAAACACATTTTTACACATCATACTTCCTCAAATATACTGTGAAGCTGTTCTAATTTGCTCACTCAGATTACCATCGACTTTTTAAATAACATTAGTCTTTTTAACAAATCCCAAACAAATAATTTTACTTTCTATATATAAATTGCCCCAGTTTATCAATTACTGTAGAAAACTTGACAGTTTCTTTCTAAATCTGACCCAGTAAACTGGTGAGACATAATTCAAATAATAATGATTAGGTTAGCTATTGTAATTCTACATGCTAATAAAGTTGCTTTTAGCAAAGCAAAATACATATTAATCAGCATATTGATATATTAAGTGATCACATAAGCATGAAGAAAACCTAACATTGATAAAAATCAAAGATATCAATTTTAAAAGTTAGGAAAGATAAGGAGAAAGCCCTACCACTTCTTTAAGTGAGACAGCGACATAGTACTAAATCACCATTTCTATGCACAGTTTATATACAATAATCTGGTCATTATACTAGTGTTAATAATATAATTGTTCCTTGGGGTTAAAAGAATTATGCCACGTGATCACACATGACAAATCAAAAAGCGTGTGGATGATAATCACGCCAGAGCTAAGAAAGCACATCAGCTACAGTTCAGCCACCCTTGCTGGAAGCCACGCTTGACTTCAAACAGGAGATACACAAGTACACTTTATCTAACTTTCTGTAATTTTGCTTACAGAGGAATGACAAAGAAGTTAAGCTGAATGTCGCTTGCCTAACTAAACATATAAAAAAACACCCCATCAATAATGTCTTAAATTGGTGCTAAATCTAGAGAAGGGAAAGATAAGAGTTGCTGGAATGGTTCATCACTGCACTCTACAATAAAACACAGAGGAGGATTATTCCATAGTGTTACTGTATACACTTCACTTGAGACACAGTGACTGTAGATTGCATTAACCTTCATGTTAACAATTAAAATGTTTTGTTGATTCCTCAATTCACATTAGACTTCTTAATTATTCATAGACAAAATACAAGTGTAAAAATGAACCTATCTTAAAGAGCATTTCATTCAAGGAAACATCTTATGTTTAAAGCTCAAAATGTCCTTGAAATCAGAATTTTTTTACATTTTTTAGGGAAAGTACAGAACAGCTTAAAAATATCTGAGTAAACCACAAAAGATCAAGTTGAACACTTTTTCTTCACACTGCATTTTGGAAAGTTCCAATAGCTTTCCTCCATTAACATTCTGATTAAATACAATATTCCAATGCATGAAATCTCCTAGCATCAGGTTACATATACTGTACTAAAGACAAAAATCAATGCTCCATGACATGTTCCCAGTCTGGTACTGTAGTGAGGACTTTATAGCAATTACACTGAAGACTAATTTTTGGTTAATTCTATATGACTTTAAAACATCAATGTACAAATAAAAATATTTCTTCTCATTAAAAATACATAAATAGTAAGCACTAAAATCATTCACAACACAAATCACGTTTCACTGTTCTGACGATACACCTACCCGTAGCAATAGGTTATAAAACACATTTTACTTTAATTCTAAACTATGTGAAATGCTGAAGGACATTCACCATAAAATATAACCTCATTAAGATAAGAAAATAATAAATATAACCTCATTAAGAAAATAATAAATATAAACCTTATTAAGATAAGAAAATAAAATATCTATGAAGAAAAAATTACAATGGCTACTCTATTATGTTCTAAAACTTCACCAAATAATTCAAACTTTACAGCACTGTAAGAAAATAAACATTAAAACTATTTTCAAAATTAATTACATTCAACTACAATAGTAATGTACTTTCAAAATGCTACCTTTCAATACCTAATGTACAGAGACTTCAAAATAGTGAAAAATTAATGAGATATGTAAAAGCTGTTATTATATTTTTAGGGAGGTACTAAACCCAAAGAGGTTACACAGAACCTGAATAATGGGCAGTAATTAGGTTTAATTTGAGGAAGTGGACTCTTCAAGCTGGAGCCTTGATGGCAGTAAAAGGCTCTTAAATTGGAATTACAGTGGAACCTTGGTTTTCGTTTGCCCCAGTCAAATTTGATTTTCGACGACTTTTGTTGTCAAAATACTGTCCCAGTTTTCGTTCATCACCTTAGTTTTCATCCGCCATACTGAACATGTCCGCAAGCCTGCGCCCACACAAAGTATCCCACACACACACACACACACACACACACACACACACACACACACAGAGTCAGTCTGGCTTTGTTTCTTGTCGAGTGAACATTACCTTGCACGTTCATACGAAACATTTTGCAATAATCGACTTTTTTGTGCTTGTTTATTGAGTGCGACTGCTAAATAAGCCACCATGGGGCCAAAGAAAGTTCCGAGTGCGAGCCCTTTGATAAAGGTGAGAAACATGATAGAATTAGAAGAAAGAATTTGTAGGAAAGTATGAAAGTGGTGTACGTGTGGTCGATTTCGCCAGGATGTACGGGAAGTCCTCATCAACGATCAGTTCCATCCTGGCAAAGAAAAAAGAAATCAAGGAATCTGATGTTGCGATAGGGGTAAGTGTGCTAATGAAATAGAGATCGCAAACAATCAAAGATGTTGAGAAGTTGTTGTTGGTGTGGACAGACGAAAAACAGTTAGTGGGAGATAGTGCTGTGGAGGCGTAATTTGCGAAAAGGCAAGGCAGTTACATACGGATCTCGTAAAGAATATGCCTGGAACGAGTGCTGCTGTTAGTGAATTTAAGGCCAGCAGAGGCTGGTATGACAACTTCAAGAAGCGATCTGGCATACACAGTGTGTTAAGGCATGGCGAGGCTGCAAGTTCGGACAAACAAGAGTCTTTAGTAAAGGTAAAACTGATTTAAATGTTCCTTTATATTTCTCATTGTTTTCCATACTTATTCTCTATAAAATGTATTTTTGTAAATATTTTTGGGTGTCTGGAACAGATTAATTGGATTTACATTATTTCTTATAGGAAATATTGCTTTAGTTTTCATGGAATTTGGTTTTTGTCAGACTCTCTGGAACAAATTAAAAGCGAAAACCAAGGGTCTGCTGTACCTCCATTTTCTCAACTAACATCTGGAAGCCTACAATTACCCAGGCACTGCACTCTAATTATGAGTTTGGTATTCTTCTATGAGTATGATGACTAATGATTGATAATAACAGCTCCAATTTCTTGAATCAAGAGCCCTTCACCAGCATCAAGGTACTCCCCTTAAAGGGGACAAAGTTACTATCATATTTCATAAATACTGTACAAGAGATCCATAACTAATCACTAATTTCTTCCCACTTTGAGTCATCTTCTTCTTTGATATATATTACATCTGGTTCTTGTTTTAAAGGATAGTTAACTATATTAGAAAATGATGATGAGTCTATGTTTTCCTTCACCCTAGCTTCTCTTGAGACATGAACATTTTCTACAGACACATTTAAATGCTTATTTTCAATATCATTACTATCATCACTAATAGAAACACAGTTTTTCTCTTTTTTTCCTAGAGAACAGGAAGCAGCATTCATCCCACACACAACTGCAGGCATGTCTTTGTTACCAACTGTCAGTGACTTACCATGGTCTCCACTAACATTTTCCATCTCAAAATTAGGATAAATTTCATCATTATCATAATACTCAGCATTTTCACGTGCAGAGTCCGTGGCCTCACAAACTACAAATTCAAAGTTACCAGATTTGTTTTGTTCACTTAGAGTGGAATGGTTAGCATTATTTAACAGTGATTTCTCACTTTCATTACTTATCAGTGTCTTGTGGCTATTCATGTGTTGAAGAAAGCTTGGTTTCCAGGAATAACCTTTTCCACAAATCACACATACATAATCCTTTTCACCTGTGTGAATTCTCATATGATGTTCTAGCCTATGTTTAAACAAAAATTTTTGGTTACACACCATACAGGTAAAATCTTTTGTTCCCTCATGTATCTTTGAGTGATGCTTGAGGTTAGTTTTCAAAGTAAATTTTTTACCACATTCCATACATTCATGAGGCTTTTCTTGGGAATGTGAAGCCATATGTATTGATAACCCACTTTTGCTTCTAAATTTCTTACCACAAACAGCACAGCCATGTGGCTTTTCTTGTGTGTGAGTTTTTAAATGTGTAACCATACTGGCTCTCTGTATAAATCTCTTTCCACATATATCACACTGGAAATGAAATTCACCACTATGAATTTTAATATGCTTTTTGAGTTGACAATTTTCTACAAAGGCTTTACCACATTCTTCACATTTAAATCTTCTGTCATTAGTATGCAGTTTCTTATGAGTTGTTAATTTACCCTTCTGAGTAAATACTTTCCCACACTCCAAACATTCATGAGGTTTTTCTCCGGTATGGACCATTCTATGCAAACCTAAATAATCTTTTCTTGAAAATAATTTTCCACATATTTCACACGAATAAGGTTTCCATGTTAAATGAGTTAACTTGTGAGTACTAAGACCAGAAGTGGACAAAAATTTCTTATTGCAAACATCGCACTCGTGAGGTTTCTCTCCAGTATGAATTCTTGAGTGATATAATAAACTAGACCTTTGAGTAAATCTGTTACCACACACATTACATTTATATGGTTTCTCTCCTGTATGAATTCTCATGTGTTTTGTAAGATTGCTCTTTTCTGCAAACTTTTTACTACACACAGAACAAGCAAAGGGTTGTTCTCCAGTATGTATCCACATATGCTTCATTAAGCTTTTTTCAAGCTTGAATTCTTTCCCACAGACAGAACATGCAAAGAGTTCCACATTTGATGAATTATCACCTGCAGGTTTTCTACTTTCCGTGGAGTTACCTCCCACCCTATCATCTAAAGTATTTGTATGAGAAGTCAATTTGTTGCTGACATTATGCTCCTTATGCTTCAAACTACTGTTAATATTTAAACTCATACTGTCTTCAATACTCCTTTCTCTGCAATAATTAGGATTAGAATTGCTACCCATGCCTGCATTATCCACAACTTGTGAAGCCATTTTATGTAGTCTGTCCTCAAACCATAGATGCTATACACATCAATTTGTCTTATTTTTCCATGTTATATCCATTTTGGGAGTAAATAACTATCATTTATGTTACCTAACATCCTTGACCCCAGTTCTTCAAGAAGCACCTATGAAGATAGTTTTTGGATAAAGTTATAATTTTTCAACTTACCTGATATCAACGAGTAGGAGCCTTAACTTCACTGTGTACTATTCTTTGTATAGAATACTATACATATGAGGCTTTCTTGATCTGTAAACATATTTCAGCCTTATTTCAACATTATAGACAATGATGATTTATTACATTGCTTGATATTTGACCTTTGCTGTGTCCTGTATATATACATAACAATTAAGATCTGGTAGTTTCTTCACTTTAGCTTATTTTTCTTTTCCAGATGAGAATCCTGGAAGGAAAAAACCAAACTTAGAAGTATAGCGAATTATAAATTTAGTACAGATGTTCAAAAATGAAACACGAAGAATATACTGTTCTAGTGTATGCTGACAGACAAAAGTTATACAGTAAGCACTCAATTTACTGGCCTAATAAGAAGAGAGGAGGGTGAACATTCAAGAAAACTGTTTATTAAATCTAGTAAATGAGAACATTTTTCCAGGATCATCCCAGTAACAATCCTCAATTTAAAGAACTTTGTCTAATGGCAATGTGTATTGTAAATATTATGCAGAGAATTCATAGTGCAGAAATTAGGTGGTGTGGAGTTACTAAAAGTATTATTCAGAGGGCTGAAGAGGAGTTACTGAGGTGGTTTGGTCATTTAGAGAGGACAGAGCACAATAGGTTGCCTTGGAGGGTATATAAATCTGTAGTAGAGGGGAAGAGGGGTAGGGGTCGTCCTAGGAAAGCATGGAAGGAGGGGGTATTATTATTATAATAAAAAAGAAGCGCTAAGCCACAAGGGCTATACAGCGCTGCAGGGTAGGGAAGGAAGCGAGGGTATTGGGCAGTAGAAGGGGGGAGGGATGATCAGTAGGTTACAGAAAACAGCGGGGCAGGGGATAGTGCAGGGGTAGAGGGCAGCAAGAGATTGAGGTAGAAAGGGCTGAAGGTATCATCAGAGTTTGTGAAGTCAGTCAGTTGTTGTCAAAAAGTCAATAAGAGAGTCCGGATGAAAGGTGGGTCCATCAGCGAGAAGGGAAGGTAAAGAGAGAGCAGCGGAGCGAAGACAACGTTGGAGGTATATTCTGCGTGCTCGTTGATAAAGTGGGCAGTCTAATAGAATGTGGCTAACTGATAATGGAACCTGACAATTCTCACAGAGAGGAGCAGGGCGCCTCTCCATGAAATAACCACGAGTAAGACGAGTATAGCCAATGCGAAGACGGGAGAGAGTAGTCTCCCAACCTCGACACTGGTGACAAGAAGACGGCCAGTAACCTATATTCGGTTTAATAGATTGAAGGTTGTTACCGAGCAGAGTAGACCAATGTTGTTGCCAACAGGTGTGAAGGTGGGTAGCTATTGCAGCAAAATAGTCCGTAAATGGAACACCTCTATATGAAACTGGTAGGTCATGTACTGCTGACCACGCAGCAGTGTCTGCCTGTTCATTGCCCTGTACGTCAACATGACCAGGGACCCAACAAAAAACAATATCTTTATGCTTGGAAGAGATGTGGCATAGCCAAAGTTGGATACGGAGGACTAAGGGGTGAGGTGTATCAAATTTCTGTATAGCCTGTAAAGCACTAAGGGAGTCTGAGACAACCACAAATGATGACAAAGGCATAGATGCAATACGGATTAGTGTTGCAAGAATGGCATACAATTCAGCAGTAAAGATACTAGCCGACGATAGTAAATGCCCTCGTACGACGCTGTCCGGAAACACTGCTGCAAATCCTATGCCGTCAGAAGACTTAGAGCCATCTGCGTACACTGCAATGGCATGAGAATGAGAGTGGAAGTGGTCAAGAAAAAGAGAGCGGGAAGCTACCGTAGACAGTTGGGCTTTCGAGCAAGGGAGTGAGAAAGAACAGACTCGAACAGCTGGAACTTCCTAGGGGGGTAGGGAAAAGTGAGATGCTACATGAACATAGAGAGGTGGTAATTGAAGAGAAGACAAGAGCGAATGTAGGCGAAGGGAGAAGGGACGGAGCAAACAGGGGCAGCGAATAAATAAAGAATGTCTACTAATATCGGTGACCATTCAATAAATGGAAGGATTGCGGAGATCATGAGAGCGTACATAGTAGCGAAGGCAATGGGCATCATGGCGATCGGATAAGGATGGAACGTTCGCTTCTGCATAGAGGCTCTCAACAGGGGAAGAGCGAAAAGCACCAAGGCATAAACGTAATCCTTGGTGATGAATGGGGTTAAGGCTAGAGAGAATAGCAGGAGAGGCAGCTGAATAGATCTGGTCACCATAATCAAGTTTCGATAAAATGAGGGCAGAATGTAGGCGAAGGAGAGTTCGACGATCAGCTTCCCATGAAAGATGAGCAAGGGTTTTAAGAAGGTTCAGCCAGCTGTGACAAGTTGCCTTCAGAGAGGTAATGTGAGGTTTCCAGGATAACCTACGGTCAAAGAGGAGGCCTAGAAACCTGACTGTATCACGTTCAGGGATACGGGAGCCATAGAGGTACAAAGGATGATCGGAGATGACAGAGCGTCTAGTGAAAGTAATTTGGTGAGTATTGGTACTGGAAAATTTAAACCCATGTGTGGTGGCCCAATTGGAAACATGGTCGACCGCATGTTGGAGAGAAACTGTAATGAGGTTACAGTCAGCGCTTGAACATGCGAAGTCATCAACACAGAGTGATGACCAAATATTGGATGTGCTCAGAACACATCCCTGGAGGACACCTTCAGCTTGGATAAAGTCCGGGGAGAGCACAATATTAACCCGAACACGGAAATGTCTGTCGGTTAAAAAGTTCTTAAGGAAGGATGGTAGATTGCCTCGAAGGCCTAAGGAGTGGGCTTGGGCTAAAATATTATACCTCCAAGTTGTGTCATATGCCTTCTCAAGGTCAAAAAATATGGCAATAACTGAGTGGTTATTCGCAAAGGCATTACGAACATATGTATCCAAGCGTAGTAAGGGGTCTATGGTAGAACGGCCCTTATGAAAGCCATATTGACGAGTGGAGAGACTGCTGTGTGTCTCTAAATACCACACTAAACGTCTATTTACCAGGCGTTCCATCACTTTGCAAACTGCACTGTTAAGAGCAATGGGACGATAGTGGGAGGCTTCCACGGCTGTGGAAGACCTCCCTGTGACCAAATAAGATTGAAAAGGCGTAATAGGACTGCAAGGGCTGACTGATGTAAATGTTGTAGCATACGAATATGAATGTCGTCGGGCCCAGCTGCTGATGATTGGCAAGCTGAGAGTGTTGCCTCCAGTTCTTGAAGTGTAAAAGGCACATTATACTGTTCTTCTCTGAGAGAAGAAAAGTCCAAGGGTGCTAACTCTTTGGCAGACTTTGAGGAAAGAAAGGAGGGGCATAGATGGAGCCCCTGAGAAATACGGACCAGATGATTGCCAATTTCATTGGCAACATCTAGTGGGTTTGCTATATCAACACCGGCAATCCGCAGAACAGGAGCCGGGTCAGGAGAATATTTACCACTCAGTTTTCGTACTTTTTTCCAGACTGCACTCATAGAGGAAGCAGAGCTGATGGTGGAGACATAATCTTGCCAGCAAGTGCGTTTTGCATCACGGATGACATGGCAAGCAATCGCACGCTTCTGCTTAAAATCAAGAAGTCTCTCTGTGGTTCTATTGTATCGGTACCTGCCCCACGCAGCGTGTTTCAAACGTACTGCACGAGCACAAGCAGGAGACCACCAAGGCACGCATTTCTGAGAATACCTGCCTGAAGTTTGGGGTATAGAATGAGAAGCTGCGGTTAAAACTGAGGACAAGAAGAGGTGTAAAAGCTCATCAATGGAGGACAAAGAAGGAACCTCACTAAAAACAGTTACTTGTGAGTAAAGGTTCCAATTTGCCTGATCAAATTGCCAGCGTGGGTTACGAAGAGGTGCTGAATATGAAGGGGAAGTAAGAATGATTGGGAAATGATCGCTGTCATGTAAATCCGGGAGAACAGACCAGGTGAAGTCTAATGCGGCGGAGGAAGAGCAGACTGAAAGATCGATGCAAGAGAGAGTATGAGTCCGAGGATCAAAATGGGTGTGAGTACCTGTATTTAAAACATGGAGGGGGTGGGTAGCAAAAAAAGCCTCTAACTGAATCCCACGGGAATCACAGTGAGACGCCCCCAGAGGAAATGATGGGCATTAAAATCGCCAAGTAACAGAAGTGGTGGCGGTAATGACAAAACAAGAAAGGCAATATCTGGGATAGATAATGCCCGAGAAGGAGAGAGATACAAAGAACAGAGTGTATACCACCTATGCAAGTGGATACGGGCTGCTGTGTAATGCAGCGAAGTATGAGCGAATAGCTGATGGTACGGAATATCAGTGCGTAGAAGAAGGGCACTTTCATTAAAGGTCCCATCAGAAAAAGGATCTGAAGAATACAATAAATTATAGCCTGAGATAGGATAGATAACGGCAGAGTGTAATTTTGGTTCCTGTAAGCAAACACCAACAGGGGAAAACTGGGAGAATAACTTCTGAAGCTCACCCCGATTACCCCTGAGGCCGCGAATATTCCACTGTAAATAGGCCATGATTGGCAACGATAAAGATACCTGAAATCCACAAGTAAGGGTACCTACGGACTAGATGGGTTAGAAAAGTCCATATGCGGTGGCAAAGGAAAACGTTCAAGTAGCGAAGGAACGGTGCGTTGTGAAGAAAGGAGTTGCGCAGATGGAGAAGAGTAAAGAGAAGGAACAGAGGGTGGATCAGTGTCCATTGATGGTTTGGTCTCTGCAATATATTCAGAGATTGCTTCAAGTGTTTCAGAGTTAAGAGGCATCATATGGGAGACAATATTGGAGATGGAAGGAGGAGGAGTTTGAGTAAAGATCGGAGCTGTAATGGACTGTACCAAGGTAGGGGGGGGCGAAAGGGTGGAGGGAACTGAAGAAGTTTGGGAGGGTACAGAAGAGGCAGAAATGTGGGAGGTGGCAGAAGAGGAAGAAACTTGGGAGGGGACAGGGGAGGAAGGCACAGTACGAGGAGGAGGATGAACCTCCACCCTTGTAACAGAGCCAGTGAAAGGGGAAGACTCAGGTACAGAGACCGGGAAGGTAAAATGTGGAGGTGGATGAAGGGAAGGAGGGGTTAAAGGAGATTTGCTGGGCCTCTGAGAAGTAGAGGGACGATTGGGAGGAGGTGTCGTACGAGGTCTTGTTCAGGCCACGTGTGGCCCGAACTGCCCCGTGTGCGCCAGTGTTTACAAGCCAGCCAGTGTGCGCGCATCTAAAGATACATTCGGTACATTCCATATTA